GTTATCTAGCCAGGTTTCCGTTATTCCCACTATATCGACGTTTTCTTCGAGTATCATAATTTCTAGCTCTTATACTTTTTTTTGCTAGGCTTCTAGCATTGGTGTACATTCGGCACCGGCAGTATCTCAGAGAATACTGCCATGGAGGTCCTTTCCTTCAGTCTTGCACTTAAGTCTGAACCCCTTTTTTAGGACACTCCAATAGCCACCTATTTTGTCATTGGTGCCGAATTTTGTCATTTGGCGTGTAAAAATAAAGGGCGAGTGGAAATTTGGGTCTCCAAGTACCGGTCCGCGGGACAACTCCGGCCCGCGAACCAGTACTATGTGGCCCGCAGACAGCTGACATGTCAGGCACGCGGTCACAGACCGCGTACCCGACATGCGGGAGAAGCTCCATGGTCTGCATCTGTGTCAGATGCAGACCGGAGAGCTGCTCCTGTCAGCTCCCTTCGGCTGGAGCTCTGACACTTCTGAGCTCTGGCCGAAAGAAAGGATGTATTAGTGAGGTCTGCAGACCTCACTAATCACCCCTAGATCACCAGGGATCGATCTGCCCCCCCACAGCCTCCTCCCTGCAAAGCCGTGAACAGGTGAGGGGGCTCGGGAGTATTATTATTTTGTGTGTGGGGGGGTTAATAAGGGGGAAGGGGGAGTGTATTTTATGTGTGATGGGGGTTAAAAAGAGAGAAAGGGAGGGCGTGGCTTGCCGATGGACCTGTGTAGACGCGTCTACTGAGAGCTCCCGCAGCCGTTCCTTCATCTACCCATTAGGACACGGTACCTCCCAGGCAGGCTTCCCCCCTACCCCACACCTCCCTCTACACCCTTACCTCTGCTCTCCCCATCCCCCCGCTTTCTCCTTCTTTTTTCCCCTTTCCTCATTCATCTCTCCTATTTCTCTTATTTTGGGTGCTCCTCACCGCTCTTACTGATCTCAGGGGCTCATCGCTTTACTGGACTCCTCATCCAAAACGCAGTTGCACAGTCACAAGTGATGTTCATAAACGCGCTCTGAAAACACCTCAGTTAGGGAGCTATATACCTCTCAGGTTATTATCCTCCAACTGATCCGTGGATCCCTGAAGCGTGCATGCACATCACACTACTCTACCGCGAATGAAGAGCCATCGATCTTTCCTGATGTTTTCATCTGTCCCTCCAGCAGTGCGGCGGCTCTCCGATCCAGCGCCAACTCCTCTCTGCTTACAGGCACTTCCGATCCAGCGGTGTCTGCATGCGGGTGCACGCGTCCATAGACTTACCTTACATCTCTGCTTGTCTCCCGGACGAGAAACCGAACTGCGCACGCCCCAAGATGCTTTGCGTCCGCTCGATCAGTTTCAGATTCTCATGCGGGAGCGCGCAGCGATAACACGGTAAGAGTAAACCGCTGTTAAAAAAATAATTAAAAAAAATGCTTTAACTGTTTGCCTATATCTACTGCTTGCTTGCAGTAGATATAGGCAAAAAAAACGGAGTGTTTAGAACCCCTTTAATAAATATTTTAATTGACCTACAGGGGCTGTGCGTTTGCTCTGCGTTCTTTTCTTCACTAATCAGCTCTTCTCCAGCACGGGTTTGTTACGGACTCATAGGAATACAGTGTTGCTGCCGGCCATTATTTCCAAGTGGATAGTTACTTTGGTAACATTGTGAGTGCAATTCAGTTACATTAAGCTTCCATAATCGCCTGCCTCAACCACCTAGCTAAGGAGGATCTAAAAGCTTGCTTCCCCTTGGACCTACCCGAGAACAGCACAAACAGTGATTCAGATCTCCGAAATTCCTTGGAAATCTTCAAGTACTGGAGCAAACAACGTCTCACATCCAAACAGTGAAACCCTGATTCCCTGCTACCTACTGGTTTGGGACAGAATGTAGGCAGAATACATCACTTCCGCATTCTTGTGTCACTCTCCAGCTTCAGACGCTGGAGAGCAGCTGATGAAGCAGATCTCTGCTTCATCAGCTTCTTCAGGGGGGGTCCTAGGTGACATTAGGGGTCTTGGTCTTTATGTCTCCATAAAGAGGACCTGTCACATCTTTTGCTATCACATAGAGGGGTTTCTCAGCCCCCTATGTGATAGCAATAAAGTTAAGTGAAAAAAGTGGGGGGAAAAAATGTAAGTTTCCAAAATAAAATTAATTTAAAAAAAGTCAAAAAAAATAATTTAAAAAAAATGTTTTTTTAAAAGCCCCCACCCATACATACACGCAAACAAACATGCGTCAGGTGCGCATTACTGCGAAAACGATGATTGCGCCCATTACACCGCACGTTACATATCGCCGTGAACGTCGCAGTGAGAGCGATAATTTTAGGGCCATCAATCACTGATAACACTAAACTGATGAGCGGTAAAAGCTTTTAAAGCGTCGCCTATGGTCAATTTTGGGTATTGTAGTTTTTTTGCGACTTCGCGGGTGCGCGCAATTTTTAAGCATGACATGTTTGGTGTCTATTTACCCGACGTGACCCCGGCTTTTATATTTTACCAAAAAATGTGGTAATAATTGTTTCCTAACATAATGTAAAAAACACTTTTTTTCCCCCCAGAATTTTCAGTAAATTTTCTGAAATATAGAAAAAAATAAAAACCCCAGTGGTGACTAAATACCACCAAAAGAAAGCTCTATCTGTCCCCAAAAAATGGTATACAATTCATTTCAGTACAGCGTTGCATGACGGAATAAAGGTCAAAGTACCGCAGCGCTAAATACTGAAAAATGGCCTGGCTGGGAAGGGGGTCTAAACACCTGGTCTTGAAGTGGTTAAATAAGAACTTTACCCATATCTTCAAAATAACAAAGGCACCATTTGAATTGTTTAGTAATGATAATATACAAACTGATACTTATAATTACAGGCTTTTTATTCTTTGCATACCTCATTTTTCTTTTCCTCTCCACATGTGACTAGTGATGCACCAATTTTTTTTTTTCGGTACTCGCCAACACTGAGACCGGTATCCTGAGGTAGCATGGGTCTGGATAATCAGTAAGCCAGTGTTTTATCAAAAGCACACCAGCTTCACGCTCCCTCGTGACATTGAGAGGCAGTCTGGCTTCCTGCAGGGGCGTATCTGCCACGAGGCAAACAGGGCGTTTGCCTCCCCCCAAAACATTTAGGCAGCCGGGCTGCACAGAAATCGGCAGCCTGGCTGCCTAATGTCGACAGGGAGGAAGCGGCGGGCGGGGGAGCAGGAGGAGACGGGGGACGGAGCAGCAGAGACAAAGGAGATGGGGGCAGAAATGGAAGAGGAGAGGTGAAGGAGGAGGCGGGGGGCCGAATACTACAGCGGAGGGCAGAGACTTTGATGGAGGAGGCGTCGCCGAGGCTCCATTCGGGCGGCGAAACCGAGAGAATGGGAGGCAGCGGATGAGGCTGGGTTTCCCGTGCCAGGTAGGACGACGACGACGACTGTGCTGGCAGGGCCCAGCATAGATTCTGCACAGCCCACCAAAGAGTTGCAGGTGGGCTGTGCAATACCCTTTAGTGGGCTCTGCAGCCTCCAAAGCCCACCACAGATCCTGCAGACTGCAAAGTCTCAGGGGATCTCTGCAGGATCCGTAGGGGGATCTGCAGCCTGCAAAGCCCACCACAAATCCTGCACAGCCCCCCGAGATGCGGCAGACTGCAGGGTCTCAGTGCAGGAGCTGTGGGGGGCTCTCTCCAGGATCCATAGGGGACTCTGCAGCCTGCAAAGCCCACCACAGACCCTGCACAGCCCCCCTGAGATCTGGCAGACTGCAGGGTCTCAGCAGGATCTGTGGGTGGCTTTGTCGAGTCTCAGGGGGCTTTGCAGAATCCATAGGGGGCTCTGCAGCCGGCAAAGCCCACCACAGATCCTGCACAGCCCCCCTGAGATCCGGCAGACTGCAGGAGCTGTGGGGGGCTATGCAGGGTCTCAGGGGGGCTGTGAAGGATCTGTGGTGGGCTCTGCACACCATTGATCTCGCAGAGGTCACCACAGATCCTGCAAAGCCCCCCTGAGACCACAGCTTTCCTACTACGCCAATAGCAGAACATGTCAAAAGCTGGATACAGCGTGTGCACTGTATCCAGCGACTGTCAGGTTACGCAAAAAGTAAATTTAGTGGGGTGGGGGGGCGCTCGAGTTTTGCCTTGCCTAGGGCAGCCCCAAACCAGAATACACCACTGGCTTCCTGAGCAATGTCGCAAGACAGCCTGAAGTCGGCTTCCTAGCCAATCAGGAAGCTGGCTCCATGCTCCCTCCCGGCACTGCCGGTCAGAGGGAATCTCCCCTTGCCCAGAAGTTCCGGTATCAGGGTATCGGAGCATTTGGGGGCCAAGTACTCACCAAAATGCTCGATATTCGAATAAAATAAATAATCAGACCAGTACACACGACTGCATCAGTACAAAATGATCGCACACATACTGTGGCTGTTAGAACTGAATTAAATGTCTTGTGACATTCCAATAAGGTCCAACATGGGAAAAAAAAGTGCAATGCACGAGCTCTATTTCTCTAGTGCACACCAGCAGCCATGCGTTATGCACAGCTGGCTGGTGTGATCAAGCCCGAAGGCCTGGTTCACACCTGCACATTCCGAGAACGTGTGCACAATCACGATGCACTTGCAGTGCCATTCACTGCTAATTGCACCCCAAATGCGTCCCACAAAATAGAGGGGAAAAGAAAGGGGGATGGCTTTACCAGCAGTTTAACACTACCAGCATCTAACAATATCTGAAATAGTTATGGTGGCTTTATCCACACCAAACGCATGACCCTACAAGTTTAGTACAATAAAGAGGAAAAACCATGCTTTTATATACCGCAGTGATGAGCACAGCAGGCATATTAATAACACATGGTAGCACGAGAATCAACACTAACAGGCCTTACTGGCCCCAGCATTCCTCCACCTGGCCTCACGGAAACATGGAGCAGTACGCTGAGGCTAATAACACTCCTGAGCTCAACACTCAGCCACTATCACATCAACCTACAGTACAGTTACAAACTTACCGTGACCAAGAACGTCTACGAACTCCACAGACCAGGCCGCAGTTTCCCAACAATCTGCCGGCCACACCGCTCCTCCTCTCAGACGACTACGTCACCTAAATCAAGCAGCAACGAAACAAGGGGCGTTTCAACGTAACATATGAAATTTCGAACACTAGAGCTAACACACTGGCTAACCAACGTGTCCCTGTTAAGTAGCACTTCAGTGCGCGGTTTAAGAGAATTAGAGAATTTGGTCTGCTAGGAAATGGAGGAAACGGAAGAGGCAAAATGAAATGCCGCAGACACGCTTTCTGGTGCTAGGCGTAGCTGCCTGCAACAGCCAATAAAACAAATCATACAGTTACAAGCGTATAGCTTCTCTGTGATAGTAGCCAATGAGATAACAGGATAGCTTTTCGTGAGTCCGTAGAGACCAATGAGGCGCGGTTGGAGTGTTTGTTGCAGTGGAAGCGCTTAACAACGGCGGGTTGGGTGTGGAGACACAGGTAAAAGTGCTAAGTCACGGGTGGACCTGTTTACAAGACTAGGTTTAAAATGTTCTGCTCTGGAGATGATCCGGACATGGTGTGAACAAGCCCTTAGGGCCATTCACACCACATCCAGATCATCTCCAGACCAGACCAAATTGTGTCAGGTGGTCTATCGAAAGGTTCGACTTGTCGAGTTCTCTGAATGGTGACGACACATCCGGTGACTGCCAGCAGGAGATCTACACCAGATGGAGCTAGCGTATATATGCCCATGGAATAGGGTTGCCTGCCATCAGGGGGGTACGACCGATACTCATGTAAGGGGCCCGGGCAGCCTGTGGGGCCCGCCCGGGATCCCTACATGAGTAGGTGGCGGAGGCCTGGCCCTAACAGCGCAGAGCCCCAGCGTTGCCGCTCCATCTGCTTCGAAACAAGCTGGGGCCTGCTGCTTGTCTGAATGCTGAATGACCGGAAGTGACGTCATGTTAGTGCCGTGACATCACTTCCGCCTAGTCAGACGGGAGAGGAGGAATGGGATGCAGGTAAGAGGAGCTGGGAGGGAGGGGGATGCAGCCCACCTGAGACCCCTTCAGCGCCCACCATAGACAGTCCCAGATGGGCTGTGCAGCATCTATGGTGGGCTCTGCAGGGTCACTGTCAGGTGGGTCCTGCATCCAGCGCGTCGTCACTAAGCCCTCCGTCCAGCGCGTCGTCACTAAGCCCTGTGTCCAGCACGTCATCACTAAGCCCTGCACCCAGCGCATCATCACTAAGCACTGGGTCCAGCGCGTCGTCAATAAGCCCTGCATCCAGCGCGTCGTCACTAAACCCTGCATCCAGCATGGTCACTCAGCCCTGTGCCCAGCGCGTCGTCACTCAGCCCTGCGCCCAGCGCGTCATCACTCAGCCCTGCGCCCAGCGCAGCGTCACTAAGCCCTGCGCCCAGCGCGTCGTCACTAAGCCCTGCGTCCAGCGGGTCGCTCAGCCCTGCGTCCAGCGGGTCGCTCAGCCCTGCGTCCAGCGGGTCGCTCAGCTATGCGTCCTGGGGGTCGCTCAGCTCTGTGTTCTGGGGGTCGCTCAGCACGGCTTCCGGGGGGGTCGCTAAGCCCGGCGTCCAGCTCATCGTCACTAAGCCCTGCGTCCAG